TATAACTTATAATTTATACACAACACACTATAGATTTATAGATCGTTGTGATTGATTATAATGAATTCTTATAACGCTCTTTTATATATTGCTGAGCTACAGTATATACAATTAAAACAGAAATACCTTTCTTAACCATGCAGGTATAAAAATATATTTATATCACCATGACTTAACTACTGTTTGGCTTCTTGGGGGTCACTCGTGTAATACCGTTTTGTCTTGCTGGCGAATCATGGGATTTCCCGATGGACCCGAGTAGAGGCCCAGGGGGATGTTTTCATTTACTATGAACCATTAGAACCCCGTTAGTATATTGAATTGGGGGAAATAATTTTGTATATCAGCCGATACTACATGAGAACATTGGAATGGGAAGATGTTGGGGATGGTTGGGTGGGAAAGTAAAATATGTCCAATGTTAGCAAGTGCTAAAACATCAATGGTGACGAAATTATACATTACTCTATACTGAGCTATACTCTTGTAATTAGATCTCTTCTTCTCAATGATTGTGTACACATAGTATTAGCAAAAACGTTAGCCACTGTACCTAATTTATTAGCCCGGGTACCTTACTTGAATTTAACAGGTTCCAGTTTGACCACTGTATAGGGTAATGACTTTCGGGTCGCCTTATTGCGGTGACCCTGCCAGTCTGTCATTAGTGGCACTTTATTTATTAAGATTCAGTACCAAATATCAATTCCTGTTCCTAAAGTATTCTGAGGTTATTGTTGTGTATAATTTAACTCCTCAAGTTTGCTTATTACAATAATTAGCATTTATTATACAAGATTAAGATAATCTCTTTTCATTATCCAATATTTAGTTCTTTCTCGAGTCGCAAATAAGCTTCCTCTGCTTCAGGTTAGTATGTAAGATACTTACTGTCCTAGTTTTCCGAATTATTTTTTTCTGTTGTTGATTTTCTCAAGCGCCTTGGGCATTTCATTAAAATGGATACCAGTCAACCTATACAAATCTTCATAAATTGATGTCTATTGGTAAATTGTTTATTAATATCTTGTATATATGTTAACTGTCGTGTCGTATGATGTCAGTTAATCTTTGGCTGATAAGTAATATTTGCTTTTATAATCTATACAATCTGTTATTATTATGTATCTACAGTATTTTTTTTTTTTATTATTTATATTTATTTTTTTATATTTTTTATTGTTTACAGTACACGTGCAGTAAACCTAATTTATATACCAAGGATAAAATTTAGTTCCTAATTCAATCAGAAAGAACAGGTCAATGAAAGAAATACATTGATCTTGAAGCGGTGTATTAAAAGTAATTCTAGAGCTGTGTCCATACTATCACATTTTATGTGAAAAATAAATGTGATATGCCCATATTTGGATGTATTATGATATCATCATGCCCATACATGGCGTAATATTTTGTCGTTTTATAATTTATCAACCTTTGCTTTATTATATGCCTTTTATGCATGTATAATGTAACTTTCTAAATTTAATGAATTTTATTTTGGAAACAGGTTCAACAAAATAATGTGTCAAAACTATCAGATATTCTTTGACAAAAAAAACTGATGTAAGCCCATATATAGGCCTAGTCATGATTTGCCTATGGTCACATGTTTTTTCAAACAAAGTTTTGATAGCCTGGAGAGGGTTTAAGTGTATTTTTATTTTAATATATTGCGTGCATATTTTTTAGGTAATCAGAAAAGCAAAACACTTCATTTGTATTTAAAGATAGATCTAAAGTAGTTAGGCCTACATTAATTTATTTTACATTATTATGTGATTGAATAGGCCTAAATGCTTATCGCGCTAGCCGTTACGTCTTCATTATGATAATATAGATCTCTGTACACGCAACACTAAAATGGAGCCAGTTTAATATTTACCATTAGTCAGATGCGAGTAATTGCATACTAGCGATTCATCCTGGTAAGCGATACTTTTTGGTTCCAAGTTGAGAGGCATCGATAAACAATCAAAGATGGGAAACAGGAGCAACGTAGATCCTAGAAAACATCTCATCACGAGCAGTATTCTGAAATGACCAACACTTACGAACTTCCGAAGATATATGATGCCGGCCTGGTTCTATATTTCGAACAATTCGTTCGTGCTTCTGAAATAAAAATCAGTGAATGACATACAGTACCACTTCTGTTGAAATCAACAAATCAAATAACAATGCATATCCTTAAGTACAGTAAACGTGGATACTGTATATCAAATGACATAGCCCTAAGCCTATCAATATGCAGAGTAATAACAATTCCTTATGGTTGTTTTTTACAATATCAAAAGGTCTCATTTTTAACTTCTATAAGACGTATCTGGTTTTAATAAAGCATGACAGTTTGATAACATTAACGATAAAATTAGCATGTAATTAAAATAGGATTCAGTAGCATAAAAACGATATCACAGAGAGTTGATTTAACTAACCGAATTTAGGCGTAGTTCTAAGAAATATATTCACAGACGGTTGAAGATCATTTAGAGTGCAATTGAAAGAGGTTTTGGTTTGGAATTTTTAAGAGCCGGCCCTATTAAAAGGAAACAAAGTTGCTTTTATACCACACCGAAGGTATGTCCAAACAGTAGTTTGCTACGGGTAGTTTTAACGTCATAATTATAAATATTCTATGCATACTTTCATATTATGCAATTGAATCCCTAATAAGTCTTACCTTAATTTTGTGTAAATTCTCGTGCTGCAATCTAAGCGCGTTTACACTAAAGCCTGGTTTCCATACAATCGCTACACAGTCGCTACACCATTTTCACTGCAATCTTTGCAATGCGTAACTGCCACCGACGCAATCGAGAACCTCCCTAATTCAACTGACCAATCGGCGTCACCAAAGGAGTTGGTGATAGCGTGTAGTGATGTTTATTTCAACCAGGTTTAATACTCTATTAACCTACGAAATTTACCGCTGACCAATGCCTGTGCTTAGGTCTCTGCGTCTGCGTAAACCGTAGTGGCTGTCTGACCATAGAGCAAGTTTCTTTGCTCTATGGTCTGACGCAATTTCTAGAAATATTATTATCACTTTATTTCATCGCATTTCCCTGAATGAAGTAGCCTTAATAGCGAATGAATATTTGCCAGTATTGACGAGAGGCAATAATGGGAGTTGACATCTCACTCAAGTGGTCCGTATAAATAGGCTAATTCTCCTCTCAAGTATTCAATGGTGTAACGTTTATAAAACAAACAATGTCGTCGGTTAGGTTGTACGTGGATGGGGATATAATAATTGATGAGGCGGTTGTATATCTGCAATTTCTTTATTTATTTTTTAAAATAATATTTAGTTATCAGATGTTCAGGTAGTGTCATATAGAAATCTGACCAAGAATAAAAAAAATCCTTTTCCGAGATTCAAATATAAACATTATATATGTACAGAAAGAAAAGCAAATTCGGTGTCGGAAGAGATACTTGTGCTGTATTTTATATAATATATATACTGTCTCTTATACACATCTATGCTTATCGCGCTAGCTCTGATGTGAACTTCCGGGTCGACTTAATTAATGTACGATTACGTCATTCAATCGTTCTAGTTTTTCGGTTTTTTTTCGCCCGGATACTTTCGACCAATACAACCCGATGTTATTTTTTCATTTGGGGGGGGGGGGAGGATGATTGGCGTGTTAGCGCCAATGTGTGCGCTTGTGCAGGCAGGGGATGTACCCCCCCTCTGAAGCTGGAAACCTTGTTTTTGCAAAGCAAATTGGTACAATTTAAAGACTACTTTTAGTGAAATTTTGATCAAAATGAAAATAAAATTTACCATTAACAATATGGCATATCTGTATCTGTGAGATATTCACAACGCTTCCTTGTTGGATGCCATAAAGGAGGTCATTGATGTGGAGCAATAAGAGAAGTGGAATAATAAGTAAATATTTTATAGTATTTTATTGTCTTTCTTCAATTTTACACTTTTATAATAAATACATTCGCTCATGAACGATAAACTTCTTAGTGCCTATTTTGTTTTGTTTTTATTACCACTGGTATTAACATGGTTTTGGAAAATATTAAACATAATAAAAATAATGAGTATTTATAATAATGCGCTATTCACATAACTGCTTAAATGAAATGGCCAAACTTGTTTTTACGAGTTTCTGATCGAGAAACAAATTCTTTGGTCAGTTTCATAATGGGGTAAAATAATTTTATTATCAACATTAATACATTATGCTAATTTTCATCTTTGTAAGCGCATAAGACATTGCAAATTATTTCTGTGACAGTCTTTTGAAGTGTGTAAAGCTCCATTTTATTCCATACATAGTCAAAATATCGGGGGGATGATACAATGGACCATCCCCCTTGTCAAATATTGGGGGATATATCCCCCATCCACTGGGATCTACGCCTATGGCTCCACGGTCCAGAAGATCTCAACTTATTCATCTCCCACATCAATAACTCCCATCACACCATTAAGTTCATTTTAAATGTGTTAGCAGGCCTTAAGGATAATAAAGTTACCGCCACCACGGTTTACACAAAGCCTACTGATAATCACAGATACCTGAACTAGCGCTCACTACACTAAAGAAATCCATAGTTTACAGTCAGGCGCTCAGAATTAAAAGAATCTGCTCCACCACTGCAGAATTTGATAAACACATTAACACGCTTATCCATAAATTAAGACTTAGCAACTTTCCCATGAAATTCATCAAACCATGTGCAGTATCATGAAAGTTTCGTCTAAATCACCAGTAACTCCTGGATTACAAGCTATATCGAACTCTATTCGCATGCTGGTCCTCAACTATAACCCCCGAATCCAACACCTCCCCAAATCCATCACCCACAATTTTCGTATTCTCTCCGACTACACTTCATCTAATTCAGAAGCACCCAAATCACCACCTCTCATAGCTTACCGTCATTGGCGGACCGTAGGATAAATTGCAGGGTATGCAAGGTGTTGGAATATCTAGGATGTGCGAGGGTCGTGCACGCCCCTTCCCCTGGAAAAAAATATTCGCCCATCCCCCCGCCCAAAAATCACCTCAAATCACATTATTTTGCGAGTTACCGATCCTCACTTTACATTCCCACCCCCATAAGCTCCCTTCCATTTCAAGACCCCTACGCCACTGATGCTAGGGCCTGCTAGAAGGAAAAGTTTGTAAGCCTACTACTTACTATAGTCAAAATACAAATGTATGTTATTTTTAATACCGGCATGGTTGTAGTACGGTATCTTCTTTTCAAAAGAATTCCTATTTCTGTATTTTAACAAATTTCAATTCAAATAATAATAATTCAAAGTTTCTCCCATAGCGGTTATATGCATGCAAACTTATTTAAACTTTAATCATTGAGATCAGGCATATAGATAGAATACCCGATCGGCAGTGGAGGTCCCGATTTGCATGCGCAATACTCTCGGAAGCACTGCTTCCATTCCAGTGTTAAATTGGCTATTCTGACGCCACCACACGGCTGTCACAATAACAAATTTAAGCGTTGTTGGGTACGCCCTGACTTCCATTGATTCACATGAATATGTGATTGGTTGATATTGAACACCAGCCATGCGGAAATTGAGAGTTACAATGCGATAGGCCCGAATGTGACTTATCCTAAATACCAAAATTGGCCAAACATTGAAAAACTTTGCTAATCCAATAAACTGCAACAATCCACTTGAAAAATTAAGGTTTATGTAGAAGATTGTGGCTAAGAAATGCTAAATCAAATGCAGAAACTGTACTACTATATTTTTTTAATTTGTTTTAGCCAGGGTATGCACTGCATACCTTGCTTACCATGACGGTCCGCCACTGTTTCCCATCCACGTCTTCTAAACTCCCCCTATCACCCCTAAAGTAGGAAATTACCCTTGTGACAATTCACGATGCCAAATTTGCAATTTTAATCATGACATTAAAGGACGTATAGTGACTGGTACTAAGCATTGGAACTCATCTGAAACTAATCGTAAACGGTTAGAAGTACGTATAATTTTTCAACTAGGTACTCTTAAAGCCACATAAACTAAATGTCTCATTTCAAAACCTTTAGATATTAATAACTTATGTTATTATCCCTACTAGTTAATTTTACAAGGATATTTTAACATTACTATTATCCCCAATATAGCAGTTTATATTTCATTATGCGGTTTTTATTTGCTTAATTATGTTATTATGCATGCATCTTTCTTCTCTTAAGTACAGTATCCGGCGTAGTGAACTTCTTTGTGCCTTAGGCGTGTTTAGCTCTTTTACTGTTACTTAGATGTCTAATGTTTTATGACATTTCATTTTGGCTATTACACCACCGCTCCGGGCTTTCGTTTACCGTCCATTTGTTTTGTTTTGTAATATGCCGATTTTCTCTGTACTCTCGTTCTGTATTTTCAATAACCCGGATAATGCAATACATAATCATTATGATTAGGTATGTAAAAGCCTTCTTCAGACTATCAAATTCTGTTTGACAAAAGCATGAGACGTGCATAGATATGATCACGATGACATCACATCATGATCATATATAGGCATATCATGACTATATATGGGCATAAATACTTTTGTCAGATAACATTTGGTAGTCTGGACAAGGTTTAACCATGGTTTAACATAAGAATTTGACCACAGAATTAAAGAATGATCACCATTTGTTTCTATAGTCGAGCATTTTTATAAATCTACATATTTGTTTTCAAAAATAATAGGCCTATCATAGTGATGGTATGTTGCAAAACTTGTAAAATTAAATGAGCATACTACTGTTTTAATCGACAACCTTTGTTAATTTATCAATTAAAAACATTATAACCAGAATCGTCCCAGAACTATTTTATAGACTATTTTTTTTAATTCTTTTAAAACTAAAAGGTCAAAATAAATATTACTCGACATTTGTTGAGAAGTATTTTCTAAGGCTAGCATAATCCGACTTTATTTTTTAAATTTATTTTTTTATTGAATTCAACAGTGTAAAACACCAATAAATAAAATAAAATACAATATATTATCATAATTTAAAATGTAAAACGATTATATAAAGGCAAAACAAAAAGAAAAGATAAATATCAATAAATCAATACAAGAATCGACATAAAAACAAAAAGCCGCAATAAAAATAAATAAGGACAATAATAGCATACCTAAATTAATTTAAAATACAATGAAAAATATTCAGACTATCATTTTTATAAAGACAAAAATTGTAAGCTAATAAAAGACGACAAAACAAACCAATTTTACAGACACTAACATGGGAGTATTTAAGAAGTGGTTTACAACGAGGATTAGGGACAGGAATATTAACATTGAACATAGAAATAAGATTATAATTTAAATATGAATTAAGACATTTATAAAGAAAGTGTGAGTCCTGTCTTGCCCTCTTAGAACCAGCTTAGAACAATTGATATACAATTGAGGTGTATTATATCAAGATGTGTATAAGAGACAGGGATTGATCTTTCAATCAAATGCAGTAACTACTAATATAATTTATAAGCAATTCATTAAAAAGTATATTTCAATATCAATCACATTAATATTCAATGAATTATTACAATTCAATTATAAATTCTAACAACAAAATTAAATTTATAAGCAAGTCAAAAGACAATAAAGCGAAAAATATTCCATTCAATTACCAACTACATCAACATGAATTTAATTTATTTTAACTTATTATTTACAATTCATTCGCTTGTTAATTCTAACTAGCTACAAAAATATAATTTAATTTATAATAATAATAATAATAACAGTAATAATAATGATAATAATAAGAATACATGCAATGTAGGACTAGCCCTAATGCAAATAAATGATACAATATTTACAAAGTAAGAAAATTAAATTATGAGCGTTCAAAGTGGGCATAAATGTTGTCAAATTTAGTAAAGAAAATAGCTCTAAATTGTTTGTATAGCTGTATTTTTTTATTATTTATATTATACTATTGCACTTTTAGTGTATTGGACCTGTGTGTTGTGTGAGCATACAGGGCCAATGGGCTAGAGATTTAATAATAGTCTATAATTCACGATGTAAGTAATTAGCGACCTCTTCTTACAGGAATGTGAAGTGTTTAAAAGTGTACCGGGTACTTTATTTGTTTGTATACTAATAATAATAATAATAATAATAATAATAATAATAATAATAATAATAATAATAATAATACTATGATTAAACATCTTAATAAAACCAAGAAGTAATATAATTACTTCAATATTTGGGGGTGGGGACTTAAAAATATATCAGGGGCGAATCCATAATTTCTCTTTATTTCTTTCTTTCTTCCCTTTTTTTAACTTTAAAAAAAGGGGTGCCCCTCTATATAATAAAAATATATATTCTGAATATTCTACTGCCGATTTAATAAACTATATAAATGAGTAGGTAGCATAAAATCCTGATTTTTCTAGAGCCGGGTCACTGTGAAATTGTACTTGCACCTTATTTGTCGAGGAGACCCACGTAAATGGTCGACGGAAACTGCAGTAGTAGATTGTAAACTGTGATTCGATATCTTTGAACTGGAAGAAAACAATTGATAGAAATAACTGTCATGTGACGCGTCGACTGTTCCATTTCCTATATTTCACACTATAATCACTTTTTTTTTTATTGATATTTATGAGAAAATGATCACTTTATATTATGAGAAAAAAAAACGTATGTCACCAAGGGGATTCGAACCAAAGACCTTCCGGATACTGTTCGGATACTCTACAAACTGAGCTATGAGGACACTGGCATACACCCTTAGATTTTCCCTTTATAACACGGATTTTTTTTCAAGGTATTGCGTAATATGCAATGAATAATATTTAATATTAAATAATACTTATTATCATCTATTTATTATCATCTTTAATTAATACCAGTGTCCAATGGATTTGTTTCTCCATACCAAAATTAGTATCATTTGGAACATAAAGTATGTGCGCACAATAAACCTGTACCTGTAATAAATTGTACGTGTCTATGTCAAATGTCAAGTTATGTAAAAAAAAAATCTACGGTGTAGGGCATAGTATGCTAATCTGATTCCAGTTTTATAAATCTAACAAAATATTGAAGATTGCTCGCAATATAGACTATACTGTAAGCCATTGCTAAAATTATGGAATAGCCCTAATGTTGAACATTTGGACATGAAAACAATGTATGATACTGGATTGTATTGGTAATGTCGTTACCTTAACGCTATCGTAACCACATGGAGGATGATTTTCAACATCGAATGCCGTCAATGATATACTGATGCGTTGTCCAGGGGGCGCTATGATATAAGTAAAGCAGTCAGTATCCTCCGAGAAAAAAGTCGGGTAATTTGGACTTGATATACTACCCACCGATGAAGTCTGAACACCATCACAACCTAGACAAAATTGGGACACAATTTATTCTGTGCATATAAAAGCAAATACATATACTAGTTTAGCACAAATAATAATAATAATATTAATACAATTATTAAGTAAAGCAAGAGCAACAGTAATGGCAAGACTACTGCAACAGAAACAACTGCAGCAACAATAAACAACAGCAGCAACAATAACAACAACAGCAGCAGTAGTATTAGTAATATTGGTGTTGGTGGTGTTGTTGGTGGTGTTGCTGGTTATGGTGGTGGTGGTATAGTAGTATTTAGTAGTACTATTACTAGTAGTACTATTACCAGTAGTACTATTACCAGTAGTACATTTACTAGAAGTACTATTACCAGTAGTACTATTACCAGTATTACTATTACCAGTAGTACTATTACCAGTAGTACTATTACCAGTAGTACTATTACCAGTAGTACTATTACCAGCAGTACTATTACTAGAAGTACTATTACTAGTAGTAGTAGCAGCAGCAGAAACAACAACAGCAACAACGACAACCATAATATTAATAAAATTCCTAATTAAACCATAGTTGTATTGTTGTCATATTATGTAGTTAAATTTTATAAACGTGATCGAAATCAATTGATGCATGGAGGTGTAAAATTATACCTCCATATAATAATATAATTACAGTATATTAAATTTATATACGTCAAGATTAGTGTAAACTTACCATCATTTTTGTGCGCAACACTTTCAAAAGTGAACGATATCTCATAACCTTGGTTGTCGTATGTCGTCATCGCTGCAATCTCCATGACGCTGGTTTTAGAGATAGGCCATGCAACATCATTTAGGGACGTGCACACTGTGTAAATATTCGGTCCGTCTTTTACAATGAAATCACCGTCTAGAAGATATAAAATTATTGTTTTTCTTCAACAGGGTATTTTCTAGTTATAATGAAAAATTGAAAGTTTTCAATCTACTGAAATATACAAAGTAAACAATTTCAATGATCAAATTCATCATCATCATCATCATCATCATTATCGTCATCACCACCATCATCATCATCACCACCATCATCATCATCATAATCATCATCATCATAATCATCATCATCATAATCATCATCATCATCACTATCATCATCACCATCATCATCATCATCATCATTATCATCATCATCATCATCATCATCGTAGTCGTAGTCGTCGTCCTCATACTGCCTCAATTTGTTTTTATTTTGTTCTTATATTTTAAGCAATTTCAGCCTCGGTGTTCTTATAAAATGTGTACAAATTTGTTAATATGGGACCACATAAAAGTGGCCTTTTTGAAGGAGTCTTAAATTTGAGGGAAACCTGTATACATATTTGAATTGATTTGAATGGTAACGACATACCGTTCTGACAGTCAACATTGACTCTGATAAACTTCAGTACTATCCTTTGATCTATAGGTGCTACTATCGTTTTATTGCAATACACTCCATTGGTGTTCCCAACCACTATACTTGCAGTCGGAGCGGTCAAAAGCTCATTACATTCTCTGTCTGTATTAAATACCGTAATAAAGAAATAAACATCTTCAATACAAGCATTCTCAATAATATACTTGGCCTACATAATTCCGTAGATATACTCTTTAAATTAACAAGAGAATTATTTTTCTCTCAAAATTAATAAGAGAATTATTTTAATTCACCTAGTATTGGGTTTTGTTTTGCATAAAATTATCTTAATTATACCATAATTTTGTTTAAATATCTTAATTTTAAAATTATATTAATTAATTTAAATTCTTTAAAGTTTAGATGGTTTCATTTTTTTAAGTTTCTGGTCCATTTTACTATATATTTATTTTGCTATTTATTTTATACATATTTATTTATTATTAATTTCGTTATTTTTCATATTACACTAGTTTAGGTAATCGCTTTCTGTATTTTGTTTTGGTGAATAAAGAATACGCATAAGAACTACATAATTATTATTTTAATATTCCTTACTTGAATTTGAATGCGGGGGTGTAGGACAGGGAGCGTTGGTGCAAGCTTCTTCTATGTTGGGTTTCTCTGGCGGACACTCTGATTCAACCAAATATATATTAGGCGCACCATCATTACTATCGATAGATTTGCAATTCACAGAACGTGAGCGGATACCCACTCCGCATGACACCGAGCACTGTAAATTTTATAATTAATTAGTTTATATTTTACGGGAAAATAGACTAGTAAGCAAATAATTATAATGATTCCTTCAATATTAATTCAAATAATTCTTTAAAAGCCATAAATGTTTCATTTCTATAATAATTATTTTAAATACAATATTCCAAAATGCTAATTGACTTTACATATAGTATAGTTACAATAATAATAGAAGTAATGATATTATTACTACTTCTTTTGTATTAATATGCCTAGCAATGATTATGCTGATAAAAATGATGATGATGATGATGATGATGATGATGGTGATGATGATGATGATGATGATGATGACGACGAAAATAGTACAAATTATGATACAGTACATACTAAAAATAAATATCTTGGTACCGCAACAAATAATATAATGACTTACGGAGGACCACTCGCTAACTACCCACACGCCTTTATTTTCAGCTGCGCAGGGTTCTTTATTACATGGTTCCTTCTCGGCATGTTTGTCATTCTGGTCACAAAACGTTTCGGGAGCAATTTTGTAGCTATAACCATTGTGATATACACAATATATCGTTCTGGAGCGGGTTCCACCTCCACAAGTAGCACTGCATTCTCCAAA